CTGCGTGTGTTAGCGGCTGACTGCCTTCCTTTAATGAAACCACTTTGATCTGGGTGGATTATGAGGAGTGACTTTATCTAATTGTTTTACTAAAGCTTTACAGATTATTTTAAAATCGACATTAATTAAGGATATGGGATGATAGCTGGTCGGAAATATAGGATCTTTGCCTGGCTTAAGCAGGAGACTAATGGTGGCGGAATTCATATTAACTGGAAATTTGCCATTATCTTGAGTTTCCTCCAGCATTATGTGGAACGTTGGGGACAGAACTCTTTATAGAACTCAGTAGGGAACCTGTTTGGACCTGTCGCTTTATTATTTGGCATGCTTTGTAATGCTTCCTGAACTTCAACTGTTGACAGTGGTGAGTCCAGGGTCACTCTTTGAGTCTCTGATAATTGAGGAAGAGTTATTTTATCCAGAAATGACTTGATATAATTATCTGATGGATTTAACTGTGATGTGTATAAAAATTTATAGAAATCTCGGAAGGCATTTGTTAATACCCTCCGGATCCTGTAATATATTACAAATTAATTCTGTAATTGCAATATAGTCGTTTTTTTCCTTGTTTATTTTTAGCTGATTATCTAAGAAACTTCCTGACTTATTGCTATTATTCAAAGTTTTCTATTCGGAGTCTTTGTATTAAAAATTTATTTTATTTTTCAATATATTCGTTTAGTTCTAGTTTTATTTTATGGATTTTACCAAATTTTTTCCTCATCTAGCGAGCTTTCTAGTAACTTAATTTTTTCCCCTAATTCCTGTGTCTTTTTTGTTCTAACTTTTTTTTTTATGAGATGAGAATGAAATAATTTTACCTCTCATCACTGCTTTCCCTGCTTCCTATAGTATAGAATCATCGCACTCCAAGTATTATTGACATTCTTCCTTGAAAAATGTGAGAAATTCTTCATCTTTAAGCAGTGATGTATTAAATCTCCAGCACTTGTTTTGTGTGGCTATTTTTTTATTTTATTTATTAGGGTTAAAGAAACAGGAGCATGATCACTGACAGCAATAGGATGGATTAGAGCATCCGAGACGTCAGACAGCAGCGAAGCTGCTGATTAAGAAATAGTCCAAACGAGAGTCGGAATGATGGGCATTAGAAAAGAAAGTGTATTCCTTAGTGTTAGGATGAAGACATCACCATGCTTCGCAAAGACCAAAATCACTCATGTATTGTTTGACTATTTAATGATTGCCAACTGCACAGAGTCCCTGTTGTATTCAACCTGTCCATTTCTCCATTTAGAGCAAAGTTGAAGTCCCCCCCAATAATTGGAGAACAGTCCCCGTGCTTTGAAAGTGCATGAAAAAGTTTGTGGAAGAATGAGGGGTCCATATATGCTGACAATACATAACTTTTGGTTATGAATAGATATTTTAATGATGATGAATCTGCCTTCATGATCAATAATTTTGTCTAATAAAGTAAAACTGAGGTTGTTGTGGGTTAAAATTGCTACTCCTCTCTGTCTAGAGTTATAGCAGGCTGCAAACACATCTGTGAACTCAGGGGAGTTAAGATCACTTACAGTGGTCGCTGATTTATGGGTTTCTTGCAATAAGACAACATCTGCATTTAATTTTTTAAGCTGGTTAAAAATCTTAAACTGTTTCTCTCTGGTGCCAGCTCCATGCACATTCCATGTCACAAACCTAACATCCACCATAGGTGTGGGTGAGAAGATGAAAAGTACATCCCTCTGAATAAATAGTTATACCTAGACCCAGGTAGTATCAAACCGTGTGCTTGTGATTGTGTGGACAACAGGGAAGAAGCAGACGAATAAGATAAAGGAAGACAGAGAATTAAAAAAGTGCAATGATTAAGAAAAGGTGAAAGAAAAAGAAGCCCAGACCATGCTTCCTGTACCCAGTTGTGACTAACACCCATACCGTGCCAAAGTGCTCTAGAGCTGTGCATATATTTCATTTATCACCGTGATCCATTCCATACACTTTAATCAAGTGTCACATACTTTAAATCCACCTGTTGTGCATCTAATAAAGCCAAGGATAAATCTTCTGATAGCTGAACAACTGACCATTAATATAAAGTTTGTCAACTGCTACTGTAGCTCTGACGCCTTCATTAATGTATTTCTTCCTGATTGGGAATAAGACTCGCTTCGATCTAATACTTCCTTCGGAAACTGGTCATTAACGCTGAAATCTGTTCCTCTCAGCTCTCTGCCCTGAGCTACAATTGGTCTAGGACGGGTTTTATCAGGCTTCTTATCTCCAAGCAGCTGAACGCGGTGGAAGGTAATGTTATTTACCTGGTCCACTGGGATTTTTAGCTTCTGCTGGAGGAACTCATGGATCGTCACCCCGGGATCCTCCTCCGGCCGCGCCGCGATTCCTGCGAAGATGAGATTGTCTCTCCTGCTCCGTGACTGAATGTCCAGAATGGATTTCTTAATATTCTTATTTTTGCCGGACAGCTGGATCATCCCCTCTGTGAGTTTGGTGACCTCCCCCCTCAGCACTTAATTCTCTGCGGTAACGGAGGCTAGCTGCGCTTGGCTGTATTCCAGCGACTTTCTCAGAGCTTGAAACTACTTATGCAGGACTTCTACCAGGGTGATGTGGGTGTCTAGGCTGGTTAGCTTTTTGTCGATGGATTCCAGGATGTCACTGTAGCTCCTGTCTGGAGACAAAGTGGAGGTAGAAGCAGCACTGGTTGGATTACATCGACATTGTTTGGTCGAAGGTGTGTTTGTGGATGTGGTATTCCTTGGCTTCCCCATTACGATGTTGTCAAAACACTTGTCCAGGTACTCTTCAGGCTCGTCAAGGTCTCGTCTTCCAGTTTTTTCCCTTGGAAATATAGGACAAGTGTTAAAGGTTAAACCTGACTTTGTTTAATTTACAATTATTGGCTTGTACTAACCTGAGTGGATTTGTTTTTGAATTACCAGTATTTCGCCATTTCACTTACGCACACAGCTCTCGCGAGATCTCAGCTGCTCATCCCATTCCCCTTGAAGGATTTTCAAAGTAATCTGACGCGCTTACTACGTCACAGTCAGTTGCACTCATTTGTCAGAGCACTGGCCAACAGGCACAGACAGTGGTTTGAAAGACAACGGGTTGTTCTCATCAACAATCTTCCGATGTCTCATTCATTGGGGACAGACTAAATAACACCTTTCATCTCCCATTTAGTCTGGTTTATCAGGCTAGCAGCAGTGTGTTTTTGATTTATGCCAAAGTGGTCTGTGCTATACAATTACGAACTAGCGGTGGGTCTAAATACAGACGAGGCGGTGAGGAAGTGGGGGCAAGTCTGTGCGATAACAGAGGGATATGAGGGTAAAAAGAGCGGGGACCCAGGTGGAAAAAGCGTCCCTAGGCTCTCATGCACCTCGCTCTTCTAGCTGGTCCATCTCCACTAGTCCTTTTCCACAATGGAGGTCATACAAACAAAACAACCCTGTAAGGTACCAAACAAGAAATATGCATAGTGTAGAGCGGATGTAGATTTGACCAATCAGAGGCCTCCTGTCTGCAGCACTATCTGTGGTCACCTACAATTTCGGAGAGGTGCACCAGATTGTCTGTGGAAGGGGCGGAGCCATATCTGCGTTCACTGCGACACACACGCAGACCACCTGGTTTCTCAGTAAAAATAAGCCTTCAGAACAACCTTGCAGGGTGTCTTAAATTTCCTGTGACCATTTTCTTAAAGTTCTTTTAGATACAGGTTGACTTTTATAAAGGTGCCTTCACTTTTCTGCTCCTCTCACTTCCCCTTGCTCCTGCTCTGCATCCTTGGCAGCACCTTTTCCACAAAGCTTGTACTTGTGAAAGAGGTTGGAAGTGTTATTACAGCCTAACGGTTTTAGTTTCTATGGTTAGGCATTATAAAAATATCCAAAAAGGAAAAACAATACCAGTTTCACAGCATTTAAAACATGAGAGTTTTGGTTCCGTTCCTCTCTAGAACCAAAACTTGTGCCAAAGGGCCTTCTTTGGAGCCAAAATGCATGCTACAGTGCCCTCTTCGGGGTCAAAACTTGAGCTCAATGGCCCCCTTGGAATGCCCTTCAAAAAGACTGGATGCCACTGACTGTTGCCAAATGCTCATCAAACAGAAGTGAATCCTGAAAAGTAGATGACTTACTGCAGTCAGTTTTTTGTGTGCAAGTTATAGGTTAATCTACATCAAACTCCATTGTGGTAATAAAGTCACAAACTCTAATATTTAATATAAAGGTAACTCTGGATTTTGAGGCACATGGGATGAGCCTTCATAGAGAAGACACATCTACCTTTTTCAAACAAATCCACAAACCAAAGAATCATTTTTGGAAGAAATGAACGCTATAGCAAAACGTTATTCTGGACTTTGAAAATACAAATTCTGTGCTCTAAAAAAACTGGGGTTAATCAGTGTTTGAATTATAATTTTCTCACTTTGTTTTTTCTGTTTTAGATGTTACATCTTGGTGGAGCTGCTAACCTCTGAAATCTGTTTCAGGGCCACAGACTGAGGTATTTCTGAAAATCATGTTCTCAATTTTAAAACACACATGGTCACTTTTCAGAATGATCTCTTTTACTTTTTTTCTATCCTAGGTGAAGAAACAACAGGAAATTATTCTGCCTTTAATTCTTCATTTGTTTTTTTTCTTCTTTTTTTTTCTTGTTTTCTGTGTCATGTTAACTGAAAGAAAAGTGGAATCAGTCAAATTCCTATTTTGAGTGAAAAACTTAAAACTCCTAGTTCTGACAAGTGCTTTAATTTGTCTAAAATAACATGCCGATAGAAAATCTGTTGCATAAGTTAGGTACTGTCACACGAAAGAAGCACGGATGTGGATGAAAGATGAAAAGGGATGGACTACATACCTTGACACACACAAACACACACACACACACACACACACACACACACACACACACACACACACACACACACACACACACACACACACACACACACACACCTATCTCAGGGAGCGAGCAGGAGTGACTGTGTCGCCATTGCCGCTTGGCTGTGCTGTTTGGAGAGAAGGAGGAAGTCTGCAGAGCCAGCTTTCAGTGGATAGCATTCTAACAGTGACAATCTGTTAACATAAGGAGTTATTATTAGTAACGATCTAAGAGGATTACGCCTACAATCAAATCTGACATCGGACAACAAAGAGAAGAAAGGTTTTTATGTTTTTAATCTTCGAATATGGATATGCTAACCACTGTGTTCGCTGTATAGATCTGGGATCCACCATGTTTGTAGGTGGGTAGGGGAATTCATCTGAACATACTTTATTAGCTCGCCCAACACTCTCATTTAAGGACTTTAGGTATCCGCGCGAGCTTAACTTACTCTGTTAAAGTAAACCGGTGTAAGTACACGACTTGCTCTGGCAAACAAACCAACGTTGTGCTATTTTGTTCGAGTACATTCAGTCCAGGCCGGTGCTAACGCTAGCTGTTAGCGAACTCACCCTGCTAGGCTAACCGTGTTCTGCTAACATTAGCAATCGGGATGGAAAGGTGTTTTTTTTTTTTATCCGTTCCGATTTTTTAGGGCCAGATGTGATAAATATTTAAAAACCGTGACGCAAAACCCTCTTTCTGGATGTGTTCAAAGTAACCACTAGATCTTTGTCTTGGTAACATTTAAGTTACACTTTAAATTCATCATTAAGGTATCCTGATTCCTTTTTTTCACAGACTTCTTTCCCAACAAACAAAAAACAAGCATCACATTTGATTAAATCTTTGTCTTTTAGCGAAGTTTCGATTGGAAAATGTTCAACACGTCTGAAGAAAGTTCTTACAATTATAGAATTGTGGTCTTAGTTGAAAGTAGTCATTGGAAGTCATAGATCATATATTTGTACTGGACAATATAAGCGGCATTTTTGATTGTCGTGCAGTCTTTTTTAATTGAGCAAGTAGCCCTCATCCATGGAAAGCAGATGACACAATCCACCATTGCAGCAGGAGTAAATAAGAAGCAATTGCGTCAACATTTCTAGGCAGTGGAACTTAAGACAACAATGCAGGCATATTATGATAAAAAAAACACCAAAACAAAATTTCAGATGTTGATGGAAAATAACCATATTTAGTGTGGCAGATGCCAAGTCAAAGTGTTGATTTGGCAGAGAATTAAAGTGTGTGGGTGGAAAATATATGTGGATTAAATATGTGGCCAGATGTTACCCTGGCAAAAAGTATGTTGCAGTAAATTAAAGGGGAACACCGTTTTTCCTTTACATTGGCACCTTGATTTTACGTTATTACATCATGTTCTACTTACCCACATGAGTTTTGTGTCATTTGGAGCTGTTCCAAAGATATTCGGTTTTGTAATATCCAAGTAATGTCTTCCTATGGGCAACGAGTTGAAGGCACAAACCAAACTGTTCATAATTTGTTCTTTATGGTAGTCAGCATTCATAACATGTAGGCGCATCACTGTCCCCCAGACCCTACGGTTATATATTTTATATTTAAATTTTGTAAAAACAAAGCGGAGTGTGTATGACATTTATTCATCCTGTCCGCTGAACTGCTGCTAGTTTTACTCACATGCCTAGAAGATGTCTAGTGCTACTACCACAGATGATCTCCCTCTTGAAATGGAATTGAACGATTAAGATTAGCTAGCCGAATGAATATAAGGGGTAGAGTGTAGCTGCGTGTGGCCTGGGCTGCCTGTCACAACTCCAGTCCAGCGTGCGGATGGCATCATACACACTCCACTTTGTTTTAAAAAAAATATAAATATAAAAAAAATATAACCCTGGATGTCTGGGGGACAGTGATTCGCCTACATGTTATGAATGCTGGCGTACCATAAAGAATAAATTATGAATAGTTTAGTTTGTGCCTTCAACTCGTTGCCCAAAGCAAGGACATTACTTGGATATAACAAAACCAAATATCTGCAGAACAGCTCCAAATTACACAAAACTCATATGGGTCAGTAGAAAATGATGTAATAACATAAAAACAAGGGGCCAATGTAAAAATACCGGTGTTCCCCTTTAAGATCATATATCAAAATATAATTAAATTCAGTTAGGTCAGAAGTAGATCCAAAAATAATATAGAAGCTCTGAGCATTACATTTTAATGTTAGCTCCATGGGTGGTTCTGTTTTGGAAATAAACAGTTAAGCAGATGAGCTGTGAGCTGGTTAGCACATCAAAAAAGATGATGGGAGAGCACATATATTCAGTCACAGTAATGGTTGATCCCATAGTTATGTCTTGAAGCGTACAACTGGGTCAATTTAGAAAACTGAAAACTGGCCCAATTTTCTGATCTATAATGTTGTTTTTGACAGCAGCCCAGCTGATGCCTCCCTCCAGAATGGTGTCTGTTAAACAGAGCTGGGCCAGATAAACCTAAACTAAAAAGAGAAGAGAACATAAACTGTTTAATTCACAAAAAACAGACATTTTTAAAAAAGATGAAGATCAAGCAGAATGATGAAAAGTGGCCCTCATGTCCTCAAGCAGCTTGGTTTAGGCTTGACGCATGTACACTCCACATGTACCTAAGATTCTAGTCGGGTCCTGGGGGGCATGTACCACAGAGAATGCAAGGGTACAATGCTACAATAAATGACGAAGTATAAAACCACTGTTTTTAACCTTTCAAAACTTCATTGTCCAAGAGTCAGTAATTTCCTTCCAAGAATGTTTTAAAATCACAATGTGTTCATCTTGATGATATTTATTGGCTATGTTACAGTATTTCTCTAGTTTATATATTGGTTCTTGCAGAGGAGTCGGTATAGTTAAACAGTTTATTAATAGCTTTATTTGGAAATGCTGTTCAGGCTGAGGGGTGTGTCAGCTAAAATAAAATTCTTCTGTTTGGACTTTGTGGACACATCATGCATATATTGAACTTAAAGGGGAATGCCGTTTTTTTTATATTGGGCCCTTGATTTTACGTTATTACTGCATGTTCTACTCACCCATATGAGTTTTGTGTCATTTGGAGCTGTTCCCAAGATATTTGGTTAGGTTATATCCTAGTAACATCTTTCTATGTGCAACGACTTGAAGGCACAAACTAAATTGTTCATAATTTATTCTTTATGGTACGCCGGCATTCATAAAATGTAGGTGAATCACTATCACCCAGACATCAGCGGTTATATTTTTTATAAACAAAGTGGAGTGTGTATGGCGTCATCTGCGCGCACCAGCTACCATTCATTCTAGGGCTGCAACTAACGATTATTTTGAAAATC